GCCTGCTTCTCCCTCTCCCACTCCCCCTGCTTGTGTTCCCTCTCTCGCTGTGTCTCTGTCAAATAAATAAATAAAATCTTAAAAAAAAAAAAATTATTTCTACACATCAGCGTAAATTTTAATTTACATTTAATTTACATGTTAATTGAGAGGTAGCATACCTTGCTTTTCTTCTGGACCATAGATAGTTTGGAGTAAGACTTGTATTTGGGCCTGAGGCCAAGCAAGATACCTCCCAAGAGCTATGCCACCCCACTCCTACAAAGCACCCTGAAATCACAGCTAAGAGCATCCAGAATGGCCCCCAAGTCAAAAGTTCCCACCACCTGATCTGCAGGGCTTATAGTTATTACTATAAACATTTTAAGATAACTAGAAAATAAAAGAATCAAAAAAAATAATTCACATTTCTTATTCAGTATTTCACTAGGTTTCTGTGTGTCTGAAATCAGGTGCCACCACACGATCATAGGACCTTGATATTTACGAATAATGAAAGATTCTTTTACATAGTCCGTTGGCCAAATTCCAATTTGAGAATCTGCCTCTACATATTAAAATTCTCAAAATGTTACTTATCAATCAGGTAGTTATTAAGAACCAACCAAATGTTCCATAATACAATGGATGGTAAGGAGGAGACTTCAGTGACTGTGTGCCAAGAGCTTATGAAATTTAGCAGTCCTGATTGCTAGCACAGTATGACAGACTGCTAGATCTGCTAGAGGGCTCAGTGAATACCACAGGATTCTGTCTCCTACACCAGAGACATTAACAAATGGCAATGTACAGATCAGGACTTTTTTTAAAGTCATGGTTCTTTCAGCAATCATTGTAAGATAATTATGGCACTTGGCATTCAATCTCTGTATTAAGTAGTTCCTATACATATAAAGAGTACAGAAATAATTTAATATAGAAAGTAAAATGCAATAGATCCAAATAGATGAGAATTTTAAAATTTTCACTGGGCATCTATAGAGCATGATATGGACTCCCTCTGCTGGTGCCTAATACCAGCTCAGGACACCAACAAAATCACTGAAAAAAGAACAACAGAGGCCAAAGGCTCACCTAAATTCACTTCTATTTAGATTAGAGGATGTTTCACAGCAGACATGATTATGGATCAATCAAAGGCAACCCTAGAAATGATTGCATTTTATTGCAAATGCTAAAAAAATACATAAATAACCAGCAAATTGTAAATCTCAATTATTGTGCTATTAGAACAGACAACTTAAAATTTCTTTTCATCTGGACTGCACTGTGTGATTTTTAGCAGCATATTTTCCTTCCAAAATAGATGTCTCTCTGTTTTCATTTTGGTTCAAATTAAATTATTTTTCATCTGATAACCTGATGAAAAGAAGAGATCAAAGGTCAGAAGCGAATGTTGACCTGTGATTAATCCATAGAGCACACAAATCACACATGGTTATTTGAGAGAACAGAACGGTATGAGCTAGTTACAACTGTCAGCATAGCTAGCTTTTTACAATACTACACTTCCATAAAACTCATGCAACCTTTCGTGTGCCCTAAATGCAATTAATATACTAAAATAGATTTATATATAATGAAAACAGCAGACTTCCAACTTCCAGTAGTAGCAGAGTAGTTTGGTTAGACGGAACCCTGCCACAGTATAATTATAAATTCTGGACAAAAGATTAAAAATTCATTATTTGAAGGCACTAGAGACTGACCAAAATCAGGCAAAAACTGCAACTAGAGATTCAGGAATTTGTGACCTTTTGTTCAATCCACAAACAGTTGGGACAGCCTCACCTTACTGGCTTTGAGTTATCAGAGGACAGTTCAGGGTTGCAGAGTAGCCAGAAAACGAGGGGAGAAACCCCAGAGGGAAAGGCAGAAGGAATAAAGCCCCAAACATGGCTATACAATCCACCCAATGTTTCTGCTTCCTGCCAGGGGGTCCAGCAATAAAGCAGCAGTTGGAAGCTGAAAAGACTGAGCAGAGATTTCAGCTACTGCCCAACACAAGGAAGACAAGAGTTTGCAGTTTGAGTTGAGTTGAAGGCTTGCACTTGCTAGAACAAAAATCACATTTCAGAGCAATACAAAAGAATCCAGAGTCTCTACAATATATTAGTCATAATATCCAATCACGAAGTATAGCAAAAAAAAGGTGATCCGCACTCAAAAAAAAATGCAGTCAACAGAAACCAACTCCAAGACGACCCAGATGATGCAATTAGCAGCGACAAAGGACCTGTATCTAGACTCTAAAAAAAAGAAAACTTAATGATAAAAATAAACCAATTTTTAAAAAAATGAGCAAAAGACTTAAACAAGTAAAAAAAGAAAGAAGATTTACAATGGCCAGTAGGTACAAAAAAAGAGCTCAACATTTGTCATCAGGGAAATGCAAGTTAATACAATGAGATGTCACTTTACCACTAAAATGGCTAAAATTAAGACGACCTATAACACTATATATAGAGCACCCAGAATTTTCACATGTTGCCAGAGGGAATGTAAATTGGTACAGCCAGTCTGGGAAAAGGTTTGGCAGCTTTTCAAAACATTAACAATATACTCAGCTATTAATCCAAATATCTACAAAAAGACTTATAAACTAATATTCAAAGCAGCTGTATTCACAATGGCCAAAACTGAGACGACCCCAAAGCTCCTGAATGGGAGAATGAATTTTTTTAAAATGGTGGTAAATACATACAATAGAACACTACTCCACAAGAAAGAGAAGGAGCTATTGATATATGGCACCACATGGATGAAACTCACAGTGTAGTGAGTGAAAGAAGCTGGACACAAACAAGTACACACTCTATGATTACATTTATATGAGGTTTAAGTTAAGATAAAACTAAGGTAAAAAAAAATCAGAACAGAGTTAAGTAACAAAAAAATATGGGTCAAACAAGAGTTTAGAGTTGATAGGGAAAGGAAATAGAGGTTTGCTTCAAGTTTTGAAACAGGACATAACTTCCAAAGTGGGATTTAATACTTTCTTGAGATTAAATTTTATTTCTTAAAGCTTACTTTTAAATAAAAACTTCTCTAGGATGTGTCTGACCTGATGTGCTTTAGAGAGCTTCTAAACAGAGGTAATGTGTATGAAAGTTTCTAGAGCAAATGAAGATAAAGGCATGGATATTGCCTGGTGACAATATAACTCTTTAAAAGTGGTTCTGATTTCAAATAGAAGAGAACACAGATGTCAGAGGAGGGCCTAAGGTTTACAATGTGAATAATCTTTTTATTTTATTTTATTATTTTTAAGATTTTGTCAGAGTGAGAGAGCGCGCACGAGCACGCACGAGCAGGGGGGAGGGGCAGAGGGAGAAGCAGGCTCCGAGCTGAGCAAAGAGCCTGATGTGGGACTCGATCCCAGGACTCTGGGATCATGACCTGAGCCAAAGGCAGATGCTTAACTGACTGAGCCACCTGAGGGGGTCCCCAATCTTTTTTTTTTTTTTTAAGAATTTTATTTATTTATTTGAGAGAGAGAGCAGAGCAAGAGAGAGAGCACGAGCAGAGTGGAGGGGCAGAAGAAGAGGGAGAAGCAGACTCCCCGATGAGCAGGGAACCTGATGTGGGGCTCAATCCTAGGACCCCAGGGATCATGACCTGAGTCGAAGGCAGATGCTTAACCATCTGAGCCACCGAGGCGCCCCCGGTTGTGAATAATCTTAACACAGGTTAAAATGTAGGATTAATAGCTATTAAGAATGTTATATATCTGACACAATGTTGGACTTACTTCAAATACAGGGTTTTTACTTTGCTATTCATTTTTTATTCTGACTACAGTAACTGCCCTATCCTAACTTTTCTATTAAAACACGTTTATCAAAGGGGGAAAAAAGTTCCTAGTAATAACAAGTTCCAGCATGCATTACCTTGTCCTGAAGGGTTTGCTGCCATATCTTCCTATTTTGTTTCAACTATGCTCAGTGGCAACTGGTCAGCACTTTACAGTCACCTGTAAAAAATATGTGTACACATATATAAAATGCATCATACTTTAGTAACAAACTAAAAGCTGTCAGGAACAGCTAGCCTCCCTACAATGAAATGTTTTCAGTTTTTCCATCGCTTCAGAAATACACATCTGAAAAGCGCACAGACTTAAATCACAAATTTAAATTCTGCAAGCCCCTCAAGTATTTAATTAGAACGTTAAATGTTTACTCTTGCAGATGTTGATACCAACATTTAGCACTGCTGTCTTTAATATACACCATTACGTTGTATTTACCAAACACTACCAAATGTAACAACCAATTGATAGCATCAATACGATCACTGCTAGACAGAAAAAAAAAAAAAAAATCACTTCTCTATGGTGCTTCTTGATTCACTTAAAAAATATATCCAGCAACTACTGTGTATACTGAAAGCTAAAAAGGAAAACACGCCTAGAATTTATCAAGTACATACTCTGCACCCATACACTGCGTAAGATGCTTGAAATTCTTTTACTTATCACCGTTTTATAGATGGGGAGATCCGTGCCCAAGCCCATAAAGCTAGTAAGAATACTTGGAGCTGTTAGTTTCCAACTTTGTGGGTTTTGTATTAGGCCTTGGGGAGATCGCAAATGAGCAAAGACCCTACTCCTCCCTTCAAGGAACACACAGTTCCAGAGGGAAAATATACTCTCATTCAAACAACCTTACTAAAAAGTTTAACAAACGCGCTCTTTAAAAGGCGCAAACAGTGCTCCGGAAGCAGAGAGGAACTGATTCTATTGGCATGATGAAGGATGCCTTTAGAGGAACCCGGGCAAAGTACAAGGGCTGGCAAACACATTTTGGTTTTGAACAAAATATCCTTACGTGCTCCTGCGGCAGAAGCACAGGGCGAGCCAAGCCGGTTGGGACGAGAGGAAAGAGTGCCATCTAGTGAAGGGAAACATAAAGCAGGGATGAGACAGGGCGGCACCTGCGTCTCAAAGGGTCCTTGCTGGAGGGCGTGGAGGGCAGGCTGGGCGGCTGCGGCCGACAACATCCAGAGAAAGGGAAGTGAGGAAGTTGGGGAGGCCGCTACCCTATGGCAACAAAGACAGCAGCAGCAGATCAGCGCCGGGGCCACACACTTCCCTCCCCCGGCGCCGTCAGGCGGTCCTACTTACCAGGGCCAATAAAGCGCCCAGGACCCTCCTCGCCTTGGGATCGCTCTCTCAAAGGGGGCGCGACCACTTAGAGACCTGCAAACAGAGCCCAACGTGCGGTTCTACAACCTTCCCGCCCCCGCTGCGCTTCCGCCTCCTGCCTGACGTACACCCGAAGGAGCGGAAGTCCCGCCTCCCGCCGGCGCCCAGCAGCAGCTGTCCGCCGCGATCCGTCTTTTAACTGCTGCCCGGGTGCAGAAGGCCACTTCCTTTCCGAAGAGTGGCAGCCGAAGAGGCTCATGGGAGATGCAGGCCGCGCTGTTGGGGGCGGGGCCCGAGTGGGGCGGGGCCCAGGCGGGGCACGGAGACGCTTGCCGCTGGCTCGGCTGGGCAGGGGCGGGGCTGACACCAGCTGGGTCCCTAGCATCGCGAGTGGCCCTTTTCTCAAGGCTGTTCAGAGAAAAGTCACCAGCCCGGCCAGGCCTGCGACGATAGGATTGCACTTCGGCTGGGATGAGGGGAGGGCCAATCTTCACAGGCTGGGCTGGCTTTCGAGATTCAACAACCATCTGAGGTTGTGCGCCCACACACAACCACAAATCCCAGGGATTTTTTTTTTTTTATAGTTCGCATAATTATACATAAGAAAAGCACAAAACATGCAGAAGTTTTTGCTACTGTGCAATAATCTGTTCAAGAAATGGCTGTGCCACATCTCAGAACACGAAGACCCTCCTAGTGGGTTCACTTGATGCATGATTCCAGTGCAACGAATCTACATATTTACATTGGAAGGTAACCATGTATTGATGTGTACCTGTTCCGTGGTCGGTAACCCCCGATACGCATATTTTCTAGAATTTGAACATACATTCTTAATAATCGGTGTTTGCTCAATGGTAAATGTTTACAAAGCACAATTTTGTTGTGCACGGATCTAGGACTGAAGTAGTAACACTATCAAGCATTTATTGAGTGCCTTCTGCACGCTAGGTTCTTCTTGTGCATGAGTTCTGGTCCTGTCATTTCCTGATTTATATATGATTTATATTTACATATTTATATATGAAACTTAGAAATGTTGGGTTACTTTATGTCAAGTAACAAGCTGAGTTTCAAAGGAGTAAATATTTGCCAGATGCTAAGGCCCACGTTCTTAAATCTCACGCATTGTCTCTTGCTCTGGAGGAAGGAATTTCTTTGAGGCCAGCTCTTGTTGTCATCTTTAATACAGATACAAAGTGTAATACGTGAGCATTCTGGTAGTGGGCCAGGGCCGCTTTTCAATTAAGAGGCCTTTTTGAGGGGTGCCTGGCTGGCTCAGTTGCAAGAACACAGGACTCTTGATCACGGGATTGTGAGTTGGAGCCCTAGGTTGGGTGTGGAGATTACAATCAATCAATATTAAAAAAAAGAAGAAGAAGAAGAAGCCTGTGGTGCCTGGTTGGCTCAGTTGGAAGAGCACGGGACTCTTGATCTCAGGGTTGTGAGTTCGAGCCCCATGTTGGGTGTAGAGATTACTTAAAAAAAAATAAAATAAAATCTTTACCAAAAAATGGGGGGCATTTTTGAGTCCTGAACTGACTAAAAAGACAGCTGGGATGTATATGGCTGACAAAACCTTAATGATTTTTTTTTTTGGTGTTAGGTGGCCTGACTAGACAATACAGAAACCAGGGTATAAGAAAGCTCCAGTCTAAGTCCGATTTGTTTGTTTAAGTTTTTATTTAAATCCCAGTTAGTTAACATACAGTGTAATATTAGTTTCAGGTGTAGGATTTAGTGATTCATCACTTACATACAACACACAGTGCTCATCACAAGTGCACTCCTTAATGCCCGTCCCCCATTTAGACCATCCCCCACTCACCTCCCTCCAGCAGCCCTCAGTTTGTTCTCTATAGTTAAGAGTCTGTTTCCTGGTTTGCCTATCTTTTTCTCCCCCCTATATTCATCTGTTTTGTTTCTTAAATTTCACATATGAATGAAATCATATGGTATTTGTCTTTCTTTGACTTATTTTGCTTAGCATAATACCCTCTAGCTCCATCCGTGTTATTGCAAATGGCAAGATTTCATTCCTTTTAATGGCTGAGTAATATTCCATTGTGTATGTATACCACAACTTCTTTATCCATTCATCAGTCGATGGATATTTGGGCTCTTTCCGTAATTTGGCTGTTTGTTGATAATGTTGCTATAAACATCAGGGTGCATGTGTCCCTTTGAATCAGTATTTTTGTATCCTTTGGGTAAATACCTAGTAGTGCAATTGCTGGATCATAGGGTAGTTCTATTTTTAGCTTTTTGAGGAACCTCCATACTGTTTTCCAGAGTGACTGCACCAGTTTGCATTCCCCCCAACAGTGCAAGAGGGTTCCCCTTTCTCCACATCCTCCCAACATCTGCTGTTTCCTGTGTTGTTAATTTTAGCCATTCTGACAGGTGTAAGGCCATATCTCATTGTAGTTTTGATTTGTATTTCCCTGATGATGAGTGATGTTGAGCATTTTTCATGTGTCTGTTAGCAATCTAAGTCCTAATGGACATTCTGAAAGAAGCTCATTTATGGAGAAAAGGAAAAAAAAAAAAAGAGTTCTACTTCCAGAACAATATTTTGTAATTTCCTGGCAAGTTCGGCCTCCAAGCATTGGGAGAATATTATCAGGAGAAAGATAAATTTAACTTGCTCCTAATTGTTTTGCCCTTTACTTGGTGGGTGTTAGCCCTTGAACTCCCCTCTGTCTTCTCTTTGAGAGTTTTGGAACTTCTGCCTCACAAGAATTTTGACATCTTGGTTAAGAGTGGATCAGTTTACTTGGATTCAAATCCTGGCTCTAACACTTAATGACTGTGAGCCCTTGTTTAACCTTTCAGTGCTTCAGTTCTGTCATCTATAAAAAGGAAATAAAAATTAAATGAATAACCACTTCACATCCACTGGATGGCTACTATAAAAAACAAAATAAAATAATAAGTGTTGGCAGAGAAATTGGAACCCTTGTGCACTGTTGGTGGGGATATAAAATAGTACAACCACTGTGGAAAACAACATGACGGTTACTCAAAAAATTAAAAATAGAATCACCATATGATTTAGCAATTCCACTTCTGGGTGTATTCACAAAATTATTGAAAGCAGGGCCTCAAAGACATATCTGCACACCTGTATTCATAGCAGCACTATTCACAGTAGCCAAGAGGTGGAAGCAACCCACTTGTCCATTGGCAAATGAAAGGATAAGCAAAATGTGGTATAAACATACAATATAACATTATTCAGCCTTAAAATAGAAGGTAATTCTGACATATGATACCAGCATGCATGAACCTTGAGGACATTATGCTAAGTGAAATAAACCGGTCACAAAGGGCAAATACTGTGTGATTCCACTTATATGAGGTACTTAGAGTAGTCAAAAATCATAGAAAGTAGAATGGTGTTTGCCAAGGGCTGGGGGGAAGGGGAGAATGGAGAGTTGTTGTTTAATGGGTTATAGAGTTTCAGTTTTACAAGATGAAAGGAGTTCTGGAGATGGCTGGCGGGGATTGTGGCAACTATGAAAGATCTGCATTTTCTTGCACACCTTGGTATTAAGTCATAGGTCAGATGATAAATACACAGATCCTACACATCAACTAGGGAAGAGTCCAAGACAAAAGGAATGCATAAGACAGTCCTGTGGCTCTGTTAATTGATAAGGAAATGCCAGGTAGCAGTCTATGAAGGCATTATGAATATTATGGGCCTTTAATATCAAAGTAGAGCGTTGAGAAGAGTTCCCACTTTCCAACTGGAGCTACCTTAACTCTCTTTTGCTATTTTGTGATTAAATATTTATGGGAAATGCATTAAGCTAGAAAGCCTTTCAAATAAAGTGTGTAGAAGTTTGAGACAATTGCCATATTAATTATCTATTGCATGTAATAAATTACCTCCAAACTTGGCAAGTTTTTAAGAGATTTATTTATTTATTTATTTGCGAGAGGGAGAGAGAGCCTGTGCGCAGGAGAGAGGGGGGTGGAGCAGAGGGAAAGGGCGAGACAGAATCCCAAGCAGACTCCCCACTGAGCACAGAGCCCAGTGCAAGGCTGGATCTCAGGACCCTGAGATCATGACCTGAGCCAAAACAAAGAGTCAGACACTTAACCAACTGAGCCACCCAGGGGCCCCCAAACTTGACAATTTATAACAACAAATGTACATTCTCTTACAGTTTCTGAGGGACTGGAATGTAGGCAGCACGTCTGGGTGGTTCTGGCTTAGGGTCTTTCGTAAGATTGCAGCCAAGATCCTAACTGGGGTTGTAATCATTTGAAAGCTCAGTTGGATGAAAGGATCTGCCTCAAGTTCACTCACGTGGCTGAGGGCAAGAGGCTTCAGCTCCTCAACCTGCAGGCCTTTCCACAGGGTTGCTCATGACATGGCAACTCACAGCTGGAGCACGTGATACAAGAGGAGAGAGAGTGACCAAGACAGAAGCCACAGTGTCTTTCATTACCCGATCTTAGGAGTGACATACCATGTCTTCTGCCATATACTGTTGCTCACAGACGGGCCCTGGTACAGCCCTGGTACAGGGCAGAAGGGACTACAAAGCATACAGAGAGATAAGATCACTGGGGACTTAGTCCATTCGGGCTGCTATAACAGAGTACCATAGACTAGGTGGCTTCCAAAGAACAATTTTATTTCTCACAGTTCTGGAGGCTGGGAAGTTCAAGATCAAGGCAGCAGCATGATCTGGCTCTGGTGAGGGCCTGCTTTCTCATTCATAGACACCTGTCTTTTTGCAGTATCCTTATATGGTAGTAGTGTTGCCCAGTGGACTGGAGAGACCCTTGGGCCCTCAGGCCTCCACCCAGCCCATCCCCCAGATGTCACTGGAGGCTCTTGGTCTCCTGCAAGAGAGCATTCGAGGACAGACCAGACACGGGTTGAGCGGTGCAAGTGAAGAGTTTATTAAAGCGAGAGTATACTCTTTTTTTTTTTTAATTTTTTATTGTTATGTTAATCCCCATACATTACATCATTAGTTTTAGATATAGTGTTCCATGATTCATTGCTTGTGCATAACACCCAGTGCTCCATGCAGAACGTGCCCTCCTCAATACCCATCCCCAGGCTAACCCATCCTCCC